TGATTAATTACTGGTCATCAGTCTTCTCCCCACACCATGGGCAGAGAGCACAGCTGTCTTTGGCCAAAGACCATATTCAAACAGGTCACAGAGAGAAAAGAAATTATCCGTCCTTTTGGAACCCACAAAAGGTTAAAAAAAAGTCAAAGGAGTAACAACTTCAGACCAGACATAAAATCCAGTCTCTGGTGGAGGATAGAGTGAAGTGGAGGATGGTTTTCAGTTTGGTTCTAGCGGGAACTCGACCAAAGTAAAGTAAGTAAGTATGTCATCATAAAATCTATATTGCTGGGGAAGAACGACTGATTCCTCCCATACATGTATTTGGTATATTGCCCCACACCTCCTCCACCCATCCTGTAAATTTCACTACGTGCATGTCTTTATAACATAGGGAAATATGTTTTTCTGATAATTGTAATGTAGATTGCTAGCTCCACCACATGAAATAATATATATCATTCAGTCGTCGCCTTGGCAATGATTTTTATTGCCTCAGCCTTGTTCATTTTCATAACAAAGATATGTATAAATGGTTTATTCACAAATTGACGTACATGTAAAAAACTACATTGCAGCCTAATAATACAAAAAAAAGGCTGAATTACGCAGCTTCAAATTAGTTCAATATGGATAAGCAGCTTCAAGATATGGAATACTCATACAGTACAGTACTGTACTGTACCAGTTTTAGGATGAGGACAGTCAGTAAATTGCAGTTACTTCAGAAATTTATTGATTTCCATGTTTTGACTTTTGAGGCAATTTCTTTTATTGCAGAGCCTCTCATCCAGATTTGATGTTTAAGTTCATGCACAGCACTCAGCCCAATTGAAAAATTGCTAAAATCATTTGTTTTCCTCGATTTGTGCACCCTAAAATAAGTAACTACATAGTAAAAACTTTATTACTTAGTAAAAACATTGGCATATTTTTAGGGTGCATAAATCAAGGAAAACATTGATGCAGAGATGTAAACAAAAGCAGTTGTAATTCATTGTTGTTTTTATTTATTGTACATGTAGAGAGTGACTCAGATGAAGCCAGGCCAGAAATTGACATTCCTGAAGGCATGAAGGTCGGAGCTAAGAAAATGAGGAAACTCGAGATGAAAGCAGAGAAGAAGGCAGCAAGAGAGGTCAGGGAGCCACTTAAGATTTGTTTCATCCATTTTTAAACTCACTTATTGAAGGAGTTCTTTGTGTCCCAACTGTCCCAAGTTGCTGTTGTTACAATAAAAGCTTTTTTTTTTCTTTTTGTCTTTTGTAATATTGTTTTCACCTATTACTTCTGGCTACAGAAGGAAGTATTGTGTTGGGCATCTGGGGATTATGGGTTTGTCTGTATAATATAGATTGCTTAAATGGTTGCATAGTGGGTGGGAAGGGCTTTTTACAGTTGATTGATGGAGTGCTCTGTAAAGTTGAAGGTCAGGAAAAACCCAAATACTTCCCATGTCTGCAATCTCTGATTTTTTGTTGCTATATGCATGTTGATGAAATGAATTTCAGGCTGCGGAACAGGAACGAGAAGAGAGGAAACAGCGTGAGAAGATGTTGGAAGAAAAGAGGAAACAGGAGGAAGAAGAGGAGAAGCTGGAAGAGGAGAGAAGGGTGAGATTTATACTATGCTGAAAAACATGTCAAAAAGACCAGTGATCATTACATGTTTTTCATTGCACTTCACTTCTTCATTCAGGTTATAACCTGGTGTACTTTTTGTACAAGGACTGTTTTTATATCTTCCTTCATTTTGATTGAAATGAAACCTGACATCAGGTATTACAATATTGATTTGCTGCCATTTTAAAGGCTGAGGAAGAGAGAAAAGCTAAAGAAGAAGAGGCAGCTCGGCAACATGAGGAGTATCTGATGTTAAAGGAATCCTTTACTGTGGAGGAGGAGGGGCATGAGGAGATTCTGGATGAAGATGCTGTAAGTACATGTACCTCTGTTTCAGGTGGAGAAACTTTCATGTTGAGTTTATGTGTTCAGTAATAATATAATATAATGTTAGATTTAATTTAAATAAAAACTTCTAGAAGTTAAAAGTCTGTGGAGGATTGAATTCAATTGCTTACTTGTATCAAAACAATTGTTTGCAATGTTTATTCAAGTTTTGTAGATGATGTTGCTTGACCTCTAGTTGCATATTTGTTCAAGAAGATCAGTGGTCATGGAGAGCAACTCTTAATCATGAGTTGGCAATATGGTACATGTACTTATCATTCAATATTGTAATTGTATTTTCTTGCTGGTGTGTAGTCTTCTCAGCGAATAGGACTGATGTTACTAGTAAGGATTATCACCGATGCCATGCCATTGTGTACATGTATATTGTGTAAGACTAAGACTAGATTGTGTCCATGTTCTTTTTGCAGACTGAAAATCTTTTGCAAGACTTCATTGATCACATTAAGGTAAGCATGTCATGTAACTATGTCTAATTGAAATTCATTGTAAGTCAGTTCTCTGGTCTAATTGAAGATGGGAGATTATAATGAGAAATTACTGCTGCACTACCCTCACAATTACAGACCTCATCTCCCAATCCCTGTAATTCATAATCTGATTTACCTACAAGCCATGTGGATAGTTCATTTATCTGTTCAGTACATTTTGTCTCCAGCTGCTAATACAATGAAGTTTGCTAAAGCATTAGGTTATAGCTTACTGTAAATCCAGAAATGTTAGTGGTTTCCACAGTGATTTCTTGTGACAGTCGTGAAGTCATGACACCACAAGTTTCTGTTAAGCATCACTATTATTTCAAGTGTGAACTTAAGACACTACAAATAACACCTCCTTTCCACTCCTAATGCCAAAGTGAGTCCCTGAGATTATATTACATGTATAAGATGGCCGCAATATCTCTTCCAGTGTGGAAACATTGGTGAATTTATTTGAGGGGCTAATGATGTTGATATACTCACTGTTTGTTCTTAGGCTGTGAAGGTGGTGCTTTTAGAGGACCTGGCAGCACAGTTCAACATGAGGGCACAGGTAGTGAACTACACCATATCGCAGCTACCATTTGATAATATAAGTATATGTATAAGGATATATTAGTAATAGATATGGCATGCACATCCTAAAATCTTTAGCATATTCATTCCATAACAGGCTTAATGAACAGATCACTACGTGTTGTCTAAAGGGTTCAAAACATTTCAACCTGAAAGCACTAAAACACTATACACTAATGTACTGAAACACTACTATTTGTAGGCTAATAACTTCTCTCTTATTAAAACGATACATAGCTACATACTTTTCTCATTACATGATCAGTTGTTAATTACAGGAAATGCATCCTACAGTTTTCTCTTATCATTCTATGTTCTTCTATAGATTTTAAACTACAGTCATGTAAATTGCATCAAGAATTCTGTTGGTCTTTGACATTTACCATGAAGTTTTGCGTCAGGACTGCATCCAGCGTGTACAGGACCTGCGCGAGCAGGGGCGTCTGACAGGAGTGATCGACGACAGAGGCAAGTTTATCTACATCTCGCAGGCCGAGCTGGAGGCCGTGGCCAAGTTCATCAAACAGCGGGGGAGGGTGTCCATCACTGACCTGGTGGAGAGTAGTAACCAGCTCATCAACCTCACTCCAGACACTGAACAGGTCATCAGGGCGCAAGCTAGTTAAGATCACCACAGACTGGTGATACGGAAACCAACTTATCTGCTTGAATTTCTGTAATTGACTTATCAATTCCTTGTTCAGTGTAGTTGTGATTTACCAGGGAATACACATACTGGCACATTGTATATGTAGGAAGAAGAAAGCAAGGGGCCAGATACTGGTCTATGAACATACTGTAGGCAGGACATACATACATGTGTACAATACATAGGTGTCCTATTGAAGTGTGTGTCCTTGTGTTTCACAGGTACAGAAGGTAGATATGTTTCCTGTTGTCTCATTTTTTAATTATCAGTGCTAATGACCTTTGGTTATAAAGGTAGTGCTGTTCATTATCCCCTCTTGAGGAACTGACTGACTACAGTCCATTTATTTTTTACTTTCAATTTCAAATGCATTTTTGTTGAATTTTGCTTGTGATTTTTACATTTGTATATGCACACAAGAAGGTTAAATACTATTTGATTTTAAACCTCCTTGATGCACACATGTTGAAGATACTGCTTGCCATTACTGTTCATATTTTTCTGAGAACTGTATCTACTGTATGTATTTATTTGACCTTCTTCCTGCTGTCTAACCCCATAACCAATACTGAGTTGGTACCAAATTCCATGCTGGGGGATAAACAAAAACTTCATATTGTCATTTGCAGCTTTCTCTTAACTGGATACTGTTAATTTTTTTGACAAATGCAAGCTGCTTTATAAAGATGTTGCCATAAATGGCAGAAAATTGTATGGTTTTGTCATCTTTCATCAATGTCCAATAAGAATCAGACTTGGCTAACAGCATCTGTAATTGTGATTTCCCTTATCTGTCGTCTCTTCTTGGCTGTACATCATTTTGCATCATGTCTTTTTTCTGAATTGAATTTATTGAAAGAGGTAGAGCTAAAACAAGCTGACAGTAGACAGTCAAATGTGACTCCTTGGCAAATTCAGTTCTGTAACTGAACTTTATTACCTCTATACTGGTTAACTCTAACAGCCAAAGACCAGTCAAAGCAAAAGGCATAGAAAGGTTCAATACCCATCTCCAACTCTGCAATCCCCAGAATGAAACGATTACAGATTTGTAAGATATCCATCTAAAGCACCTTGGTCAGGCGGATTATCGCACGGCCAGCGGGGGCATCAGTATGATAATCTGGTCAGTAAAGTGGTAAGATGATTACTGTATCGACACCCTGGCTAATCATGAGTGATGATCTCCTAAGGGCGAGATTTAAAGGTGCAATCTTTACGTCGATAAACGGCAATCGTGTGTAGAACACATAAGTCATGACCGTCAGTGGGCTCATTGCTGACAACTCATTTTGCTAGACACAGTTGAAGATTCGCAACAAAACCTTCACACCTCACGGCACATCTATAACGCCTGGTAGAAACAAATCAGAAAATCAATAAAACACTAGTACTGCAGCCCTCAAGGTGACGTCAACGCCGGGAGAACCGGTCAGAACTTTTATGTCAATTTACGAAACAATGCCGGGTAGTCAAGCATGCCCGCCTCCTGCTGACGAGGAATTGGGCGAGATAGCTCCCTCACCAGAACGATCGTATTCCAGCACTCGAGTTCCAACTTATTGGCATGTCCTTGACAGGCAATTCGTCATCTGGGCGCTCCTGAAAGTTCGGGAACAAATTACGCTCCGATCCGTGCGTGCCAGGTCGGCAGTGGCGGGGATGACTGACGCCCACGTCGCCGGTGGAAAAGATAATATCTTCTAGAGGAGTTACGTTGTGACAAATGGCTTGACAACTATATATAGTATATAGTTCGCTCTCTTTCTATGTACATACAAGTCTCGTATATATCCAGGTATTCGTGCTACATTTACAAAAGTTCATAACAAAACGTAACGCGTAATTTATCACACAAGCTGTGTTAAAAACGCAAACGCCGACAGCTGAAAGACATTTATTACTGTAGATGTCTAATAATTTTGTGATTACCCGGCACCAGAAGTATGTGTGAACAGTACCTTGCACCTTACACTTGTGCAATCATAGAATGATCGCCAACCATACGATTTGGTGTTTACTTTGCATGAATATACAATATGCATTGCAACAATGTAGAGTACTTGATATGAAGGGTTTTACATCTGTAATCTACATGATGTATATGATGGTTTCCACGCGTACAGTTTCAGCCCTTGCCCTAAACCTCTTTAGGCTCGCTAGTTGTGGCTCGGTGTTTTGTTTGTGAAGAAGCTCTTGTCTGTTCTTCATCTGACGAGGCTGTTTTTGACGTCTGTGGTACGGGGACATGTACCTGTACGTACCGTGTTCTCGGGGACACGCGCGGAGCGACTCTTCGCGGGACTTGAACTGTACGAACCACCTGTTCCTTAGGCTTGCCTCGGATTGTGTATTGGCCATTAATTGCCTCGATATTGACTTCAGTGCGAGAGTACTGCCCGTAAGCACGCTGTAGTTCCTGTTGGATGAAGTCTGGAAGCGTGGTGAAGTTGGATTCTGGAAAGACGGTGGTGAGTCTGCCGTACTCCAGGATGCCGTGCACGTTGAAGTTGTCCTGTAGTTGCGACTGTGACTGCGGTACGATGACTTGTTGCCCGACCGGGTACTGCGGCGGGTAGGAGTGCGCCATGAAATGTCCCGGGTGCCCGTAGAAGTGATGCCTCTCCCTGCCCCCCATGTTGTAGGAGTAGGGCACTCCGTCCGGACCGTGGTAGTGGTTGTAGTGACGCGGTCTCTGTCTGTCGTCACTGTCGTCCTCGTTGAGGAAGATGATCTGTGGTCGCTGTGCGGGCAGAGTCCAGGCAATGTCCTGTGTGTTGAAGGTCAGTGTTCCGGTTCCGACGAACGGCAGCCGCTGGTTGATGTACGTCCTCCTTCCTGTACCTACAAGGTTACCGGGATTCAGAACTGTCATCCCTGGCGCTGCTTGTACAATCCCCGGTGCTGCCTGTACAATCCCCGGCGCCGCCTGCACGACTCCAGGTCTCATCACTGTGACTCCTTGACCGTTGGTTATCTGGTAAACCCCTCCGCCCTCCATGACGAGTACTGGTCCTTTCTTTCTACTCCACAATTTCGCCAAACCAAACCGCGTACGTGCGGTGTGGAACTGACTTGCTTACTAGTTAGTAAGACTTTGCCTACTAACACTGTCGCCTAGCAACGGTGACCAGAACTAAAACATTGGAAGGCGGCTACCGGTGCAATATTTGTTAATGCCTATGTTGATACACGTTCTCTCCCTTCTTCTCTTGTTTGTGTAATTGTTTGGAGAATCGCGGTCAGTCTTTTTGCTACCGAATATGTCCATAGTGACTGACAAGTCGTACTCGAGAGCAACCGGTTATGGTCGAATCCGAGATTGACTACATCAGGTCAACTGTGGTCATTGATATCTAGATACTAACGCTATATAATGGGAGCAATATGTACATTCCTTTTGATAGTTTTAAACTCAATTGTCAAAAATTTTGAAAATCAAGAATTTTAAAAACAGTGCCACCACTTCGTTTGGAATGGTTAATGTGAAGATGTGCCCATCATAGGAAGCTACCTTCGCAAACATGTATAAAGGTTTGAATTCCCTTTAAGTTGATTTTTTAAACATCATCGTTCATTTTGCTGATGTTAATTAAGAGAGCAAATCTTGTGTTCTTACGTTCACTGCCTTAAGTTTAACGTAGGCAGTGACTGGCCTGTCAAATCCACGGCACTTAAACCGTTGGAGGGTAACCTGGCTCCGTTACCGGGATACTGTTGGTTCGGGAACAACAAAAGACCTTTGTCCTCGATAACAGAAATTTTTGGTTACGATAACGTGTTGCAGAATAAATGGTTACAGAGGACCGCCGTGCCAAATAACGTGAAATGGTTGAGGAGGGGAAACAGCTTGTTAATCGGTACTAATTGCTGTTTGTCCAAACAAGGCGGACGGGTGTTATTATAAGGCATACTACACTAGGAGCGCGACTCTGATTGCAGAGGTGTTACGCTTGCGCAAAAAATCATACTTACAACTTCTACAGAAATCTTGAAGAAACTATGTATTTTTGCTGTACAAACGTTTGGAAGGAAGGGAAATACATAAGTTTATGAGGTTGGGCTTTAAAACGAATATCCCGGAAGTGATTAATTGTTATTTGTGCAGGCATTATGACATTAGGTATGTCCGCATTCAGGCCATTTTGTGTAAGCTTAAGTCTAGATTTGACCGTTGTAGATCATGTTTCATATCGGGGAGAAGGATATTGACTTTCTGGTAAAATACCTTTTCCCGTGCATGTTCATATTACATGGAAGGGAGCCGATACATGTACAGCCTCGTCTCAATCGCATGTAATAAATGATATAACACTCACAGTCTAACAAAGAAGTACAGCAACTGTACAAAACAAAGACGTTTATTCTTCTGACATCATGGTACAACGATAAAATAGTAATCTACAAAACATGGGCTCATGTGGCTTTACAACTCTCAAATAACATCTTTGAGGAGGCTAATCTCCACACATTCCACAATTATCTTTACCAAGAAGGTTATGTTGTATCCATACGCTTTGTGTATAAAACCAGCTTATTACTTTTAACATTCGTCTGTCATATTGTCCCATATTCTCCTTTTTTCATTGTCACCTTTCTTCATATCAACTTTTGCCAGTCTACACAGACAACAAAACGTAAATTCCTTTAATACTTTTTGGTGACACCTCATAGGCAAATGTAAAGCCTACTGTATGTAACGATCCACGACTTGTATTGTTGCAACTCACAAACACTTGAAACTCAATATTCTTTTAAAGATTGTCAAGCATTACTTCATTGGGACACTCATACGTTACTGACTAACACTGTACAGGATTCTCACATGTTCATATGTACACCCGGCTGTTGTCTCTGAAAGGACGCCATTTAAACTGCTCGGATTTCATAGCTTCGTATAGTTCTGGTGATAACTTACGATCTACACAGATATTTAGGTGTACATGTACAGAATACCAGAAGGCACGTCATTGATATACACGTTCACTATACAGACATAAAGACTACTATCACTGTGTCTGCGTCACAGTTTAAATAATCATCAATGTATAAACGACATAAAACGTCATTGGTCTATCTTGAAACTACTGTGATCAATTCCAAGTTTTTTGTAAGAAGTAGAGTATACATGATAACATATATCAATCCTCTGTGACTATTTTCTACACGTTTTGAATAAGTTATCAGGCCAAATACCACTATCGCCAAGATTGAAGTCAAAATGCCAATCTAACAACATTAACATCAAATTCACAACACTGTTCCAGTCTTTGTACAGAAAGGCCATATTTAGTAGAGCTTCAAAGCGCGACAATATTCACATGGAAGGACAGATATATCATACAATACTTCCACGCAAGCTGTGCATACTTGACATTTATCACATGAGTGGATTTTTCTTTCACATTTTTATGTAAAACCAGAACGGCCCTACGTACATGCGTGGAATAACGCAAGTTCTGTCAGGCTGTATGAAAGGTTAGATAGCATGTCCTTCTCTCGGTATATCATCTGGAATGTTTACGTGTTGTACGATTTTTAAATCATGATCAATGATACATCTCTATTTACATGATGTACTCAAAACAGTTCCCGACTTGATTCCTCCAGTAAGCACTACTGGCCTTTGTTTCTGATCCTGTCCTTGCAGAAAATACAATTTCCTATAGAAAGACAGCTAGATATGTAGAGGTCTATGCAGAGATGTCGCGAGAAAGTCTACTTTGATGAAGAAACATTCCATAAGCCATATAACAACAGCTCCGTTCGTATCAAACCATGCGGTTGACCCCCATACTGCAGGGGAGTTGGGTAGTAAGGGAACAATGATGGGGGGGAGGGGTGGTCTGGCAACTGAGAGGAACAGAAAAAGAATTTTATAGAATGTCAGTCTAACAAAGTTTTAAATATTTTGTAGGCTACAAAATATTATGATAGGAAATTCTTTTGGCTTCAGACAATTTGGCATGTTATCTGTGCAACTTCGACAGAGTATTCTCAAAGCCCTTCACAATAGTGTATACAAGTATGTTTTCTGTATTTTACAGTAGAATACATATTCACCTTATGTGCTTTGCACTGTCCCAAACTGAAAGTTGATCAGATTCACTTCTTAGAGACTGAAGGTCAATAGACAAATTAACGATTTACCGATTTCACGATTTCACTAGTACATACTTCTGCCCGTGTCCAACCTTACTCGCTTTACGTCTGTTACTCGATAAGGTCATCTAGATTTAACTTCCTTGATCTAAATGATAACTATTTAGATCTTTTTTTAAGTAACATACCGTAGTTGGTACGACCAAGTCTTTGTCAGTCCGCAGGATTATGCCGACGTTTCTTTGATGACCTGCATTTCTATGCCGTTGTTCTGTGCATCCATGTCCCTCAGGTGGAGAGATCTGATGCTCCCGGCTGTAGACTTGGTGTCGTGTGAGGTGGAACTCCCGTTCACGGACAGTCTGTCTGCGCACACCACGATGGCCTGGCTATCGTACTTGTTCACCTTCCTTTTCCTGATGTCCGTAATTTCTTTCTGAAAATAAAAATAAATAAGAAAAGAGTTATATTACACAATGGTGGAACACGTGTACACGTTCTGATAGAATTTTGAAGCTGTACTCTTGCCCTTGATGTTGACACCCATGCTGCAGTGAAGTTCAGGGTGACATGGTGAGTCGAGCGTCTATAAACGCCAGCCCTTCCACCGGACACGCCTGACAAAACCACGACTTCACGGGGCCGTGGAATAATGGATGACTCTGACTGTGACCTCTGCCGTTGGACGTTTATCACTCCTGACCTCAGCTCGTGCTGTAAGCACAGAGAGCGGGAAATGGGACCATTAGGCGCCGGTCTAGGTGATAAATAGACGGGTCGTTTCGTTATGCTCCGTGTCAATTACAGACATATTGTTACCGCAGGTATGGTAGCATTTGGGGGGGGGGGTCTGAGTTGTGGATTAGTCTGTCTGTCCAAGTTGTGACGGTTGCATGGAGAGGGAGAGGTGATTGATTGATTGATCGATCGTTGATTGATCGATCGTTGATTGATTGATTGATTGATTGATTGATTGATTGATATGTGCAAGTGGTGTAATACCTGAAATGGAAGTACATTATACAACTCCTCCACAGTTTCAATGCATTCACAACACGTGTACGTATACCCTCATCTTGAATGTGACAATATTTAGTACTAGTATAGGTGAAGTTGATAGATTCTAAAAGTGTTAGCCAAGTCTAGCCAAAACCTACGTTGAGGACGTTGATCTGGTTTTTGAGCTGGATGATCTCCTTCTTGCAGTTGATGTGATCATCACAGCCGTTGGTGACGGTGCCGGAGCTCCCCTTTCTCGTCAGAAACTTGCCCGATCTCTGGATCTCGAAACCGTGTCTCAGGCCCTGCCAAATCTACAGAGAAGTACAGATACCGTTCAAAAAGCAGTACAATTTAGAGAGACAGGCAAATAGGCCACGGGAGTTCATTCACCCGCGCCGGAGGGGGAAATTAACCTTCCCGTGGACCGATTAGAGGCCAATTACTCCGGGCCTCTAAGCTGATGGAGGCTAGAAAATTCTATGAAATCAAAAGGCCCCATTGCAAATTTAATGTGATGCGCCGTATGTGACGTATGTCGCGTTGTTAGTCTGGCAGAGACTACGAATTTTCAGTATTTTCCGTAAGAATACAGCTGAAGTTGCATGACAAATGCCCTCATGAGTTTGCGATCTTGAACGGCGATGATGAACATGACCTTACCTTGGGAACAAAGACCAGCGCCAGAGTGGTGGAGGTGCAGACGATGATGCAGACAGACAGCACGGCGAAGCTGATGTCGAGCTGCTGCGAGTCCAGCAGGTTGATGATGGGAACGCCCACGGCTGACATGATCATCACGTTGTACACACACAGGCCGATCTGCTTGGAGTCGTTCAGCTCGGGGATCTGGACCTTCCGCGTCTCCCAGGCCAGGAAGATGCCGAACAGAATCAGGATTCCTGACAACATGGAACAAGAAATCGGGGATTTCAGA